CACACACACACACACACACACACACACATAGAAAAAATCTTGATCCTATAATATTTATGGAGTGCCTGGGTGATGCAAATGGTCCACACACTCTGCTGCTAACCAAAAAGGCTGGCAGTTCAAATCCAGCCAGACACACCTCAAAAGAAAGGCCTGGTGATATACTTCTAAAAACTCAGCCACTGAAAACTCTGTGGAGAGCAGTTCTATTGTAATACATATGGGGGTTGTCCTGAGTTGGAAATGACTTTACAGCAACTGGGTCTTAATCATTTATAAACAGTCAAGCTTTACATTCTTATTTGTCTGATTTTCCATCTGTAATGGCCCTGAGAGTAAGCGCCCCAGGAAGAAGAGGAGAAATAGGGGGGCTTGCCAATCAACTGAATTGCAAAACGTTGAGTGAGTGGTGATGAATTAAAGCTTGCCAATAGGTATGTTGTTATGGCTTGATTGTGTCCCCAAAAGATATGTGTCAACTTGGCCAAACCATGATTCTGAATGTTAGGTAATTATACACCATTTAATTACCCTATGTGTTGTAAGTTCCAACTTCTATGATGTTGATGAGGCAGGAGTAGAGGCAGTTATGTTAATGAGGCAAGATGCAGTCTATAAAATTAGACCGTATCTTGAATCTTTTGAGATAGAAAAGAGATTAAACAAACAAGCTGAGAACAGAAGGCCCACCAAGAAAAAAGAGCTGGGAGTGGAATACCTCCTTTGGACCTGGAGGTCCTTCAGTGAGAACCTCCTAGACTCCAGGGAAAGTTAATGCCAAGAAACCTGGAGATCTCCATTGAACGCTGGGACCACAGAAACTGAAAAGAGACAAGGATCCTTCTCCAAAACTGGCATAGACAAAACCTTCCCCTAGAGTTGGCACCCTAAATTAGAACTTCTAGCCTCCTAAACTACGAGAGCATCAATTTCTGTTTGTTAAAGCCATCTGTTTATGGGGTTTCTGTTACAGCGGCACTCGAGAACTAAGACAGATGTCCTATTTTCACAAGGACTGGTGACATCTAGGATGACTTTAGGTGTTATCACACTGGACTACTGTTGATTCTCTGTTAATAGATCACTCAGTGATAAGGTCTATTGGTGCTAATATGTCTTTTAACACTTTACCATGTATTACTTTTCCTATTAAGGAACTCTGATGGCACACATAGTGGTTACGAGCTGGGCTGCTAATCTCAAGGTCAGCAGTTCAAAACTACCTGCTATTCTGTGGGAGAAAAATGAGGCTTTCTGCTCCCATAAAGATTTACAGTCTTAGAAACCCTATGCATGGTCGCTATGAGTCGGAACCGACTCCACGGCACACCACCACACCACTCTTCCTATTGAGTCCGGTGTGGCGCTGTGTGTTAATGTGCTGGACTGTAAAGTCGATTTGAACTGCAAGGTCAGTGGTTCAAGCTCACCAGCCGCTCCTCAGAAACCCTATACAGGATCGCTATGAGTTGGAACTGACTCAACGGCACTTAACAACAACAAGAAACTCTTCCTATTGGTGTCCTGGTGTTGTAAGCCCACCAGCCACTCCTCAGAAACTCTATACAGGGTAGTTATGAGTCAAAGCCAACTCTACAAGCAAAACCAACTCTACAGCACTTAACAACAATAACATTTCCTGTTTAAAAAGAGGGAAGTCTTCAATGTCAGATTCTTCTCATCAGCAGTCAACATTATCCAGCTAGAATTACATAATGTTGTATTTTTAAACTGACTTTTAACTTCCTATTTATGGATGTTGTTGTTGTTGTCAAGTGCTGTCGAGTCGATTCCGACCCATAGCGACCCTGTATAGGGTTTCTAAGGAGCAGCTGGTGAGCTTGAACCGCCGACCTTGGAGTTCAAATGGCTTTACAGTCTGGCACATTAACCCACAGCGACGAATACTGTCTTCCAAATTTATTGGTATAGACTAGTGAAAGCATTGTGAAGAATGGGAATTCCAAAACACATAAGGAACCTGTACATGGACCAAAAGGCGTGGTTCAAAAAAGAACAAAGGGGGTACCGAATAATTTTAAACCAGGAAAAGTGTATGTCAGGGTTGTATCTTTTCATCATAGTTAGTCATTCTGTATGCTAAGCAAATAATCCAAGAAGCCACCAAACATAACTATTATTCTGACTTCTAACACTACGGAAATAATTTTGTTTGCATTTGAACTTTATATAAGTGGAATTGCATAGGATGCTTCCTCTTGCATCATGTGCTTCCTGTTACTCATCATTATGTCTGTGAAATTTACTCACATCATTGTGTTTAATGTTTGTCTTTTTTCATGACTGTATAATATTCCAATTACGAATCTGTCACAGTTGATTTATCTGCTGATCTGTTAGTGTGTCTCCAATGTGGAAGCTCTTACAGATAGGGCTGCCTTAGTACATGTCTTTGGTGAACACATGTACACTTTTCTGTCTGGTATGCAGGCACACCTTGTTTTATTGCACTTGGCTTTATTGCACTTCACAGATACTACAATTTGTACACATTGAAGGTGCGTGGCCACCCTGTATCAAGTGGGTGCTCACTTTTTCCAACATGTGCTCATTTTCTGTCTCAAAACGTATCAAATTTTGATAATTATCACAAATTTCAACTTTTTCATAATGCTATTGCATACTTAATGGTGGTGGTGATGGTGTGCCGTGGAGTCAGTTTCAAATGACTCATAGTGACCCCGTATAAGGTTTCTGAGGCTGTAAACCTTTACAGGAGCAGAAAACCTCATCTTTCTCCTGCGGAACAGCTAGTAGTTGAGAACTGCTGACCTTGCGGTTAGCAGCCCGACTCATAGCAACTACACTACCAGAGCTCCTTGCATACACACTATATTATAAGCATAACTTTTATAAGCACTGGTGTCATAAATTGAATTGTGTGTCGGCTTTGCTGGGTCACGATTCTCAGTAGTTTGGCAGCTGTGAATTGATAAAACATGGCAGTTATGTGATGATTCCCCATGATGTCATCTAATGGGATAAACCAATCAGAAATTGAGAGAGGGCTGCTATACCCTTAACCTTGTCACCCTGATTCCATGTAAGGGAGTTTCCCAGAGGTGTGGCCTGAAACACCATCTGTCTTACAAAGGAGAGCGAAGTGAGCAAAGAAAGGGACACCTACTACCACCAAAACAGAAGGGCCAGGAGTACAGTGCATCCTTTGGACCTGGGTCCATGCGTCATGAAGCTCCCGGATCTAGGGGAAGATGGATGCCAAGATGTATGGAGATTGCTGCAGAACACTGGGTTACAAATGCTGAAAGGACACAAGGCCCTTTTCCCAGAGCCAACCAAGAGAAAGCCTTCCCCTAGAGCCAGCACTCTGAATTTGGACTTCTAACCTCCTAAACTTTCAGACACTGGGAAACAAAAAAACTTCACGTGTTTCCCTTGATTGTGATATTCTGTTTATTGTGGGAGTCTGGAGCTGAACCTGCAGTATGAGGTATGCCTGCATACCAAGGGATGTAATTACTGAATCAGCATTTTCCAAAGTGGTTCTATCTACTTACTCTTCTACCAACAACATACAAGAGAAAGTTTTTCTAACTGAATGGAAAAGAAAGAGAGAAAAGCATTTAAAGGAAAACAACAAGAAATAAGAGTACTTTGTTGTTGTTAAGTGCCATCAAGTCAGTTCTGACTCAGCGACCCTGTACAGGGTTTCCAAGGAGCTGCTGATGGATCGGAACTACCAACATTGTGGTTAGCAGCCCAACGCTTATCATATAGCATCACACGAGGACGCCAATGCAAATACTGGTAGCTCTTAATTTAGCAAAAGAAAATCTTGATTCTCCACTTTAGTAAGATGAAGAATAGGTGTTGTAGAAAGAGCTCTGTGGCAGGTATTAACTGTGACCTGGTACAAGCTGTTTCACATCAGTGAGCCTTGTTTTACTGTTAACCAAAAGGGGTGAACTAAAAGCTACTAACCTGCCCTTTGAGCTTGATGACTCTCTGTTTTTGTGTGTCTGTTTCCAGAAGAATATAGCAGAAATTCTATGATACAAAATGATTGTGACCTCCTTTCCCTTAACTCCTTCACTTCTCCAGTGCTTAATTCCTCTAAATGCCAAGAATTCACATGCCATCCCCTGCTGCGCTTCCTTTTGTGTCCCTGAGTTGGCAGCAAACTGAAATCTTCCCTTTCTGGCATATTCATTGGAGGCTCACAGCATTCAGTGATATTGTCCAGATTGTTCTTGGTGATGGTGGTGGTGGTGTGCTGTGGAGTTGGTTCTGACACATAGCAACCCTGCATAGGGTTTCTGAGGCTGTAAAACTTTATGGGAACAGAAAGCCTCATCTTTCACCCATGGAATAGCTGGTAGTTCGAACTGCTGACCTTGAGATTAGCAGCCCAATTCGTAACCACTACTCTACCAGAGCTCAAGTCAGGTCCAACTCATAGCGACCTTATATAGGGTTTCGGAGGAACA